AGCCCAGCCTTTGTACCTCAGATCAACCAGTCATAGGATGCAGCAACCCCAGGGAGGACCTAACTCTTGATCTAGGCAGCTCCCTTCTGCTGAGGGCAATTCTGGGACAGGAGCTCAGCTGTGAGTCATCAGCAGCCAACACTCCTCTCAGGAGCTGGGGAATGAGTACCGCAATGCTGGGAGGTGGGGAGATCTGGGTGCCACACCACAGAATCCACTACGTATGCCGAAACTGAGGCACAGAGAACTTAGGTAACCCACTCAAGATTGCACAGTGAGTGAGTGGTGGAGCCAGCACTCACACCCAGGCAGTCTGGATCCAGAAGCTAGGCCTTCAATCACTAATCTCTATACTGTGTGTAAAGCACTTGCCAAAATGCCATCATGGTTGCTCAATAAATCACAGCTATTTTATTTTGGGCACTGGTGGTGACTATTCCCTTCTATCAGCCCTTATACTTTCAGCTATCTGAAAGCTAAAAACAGTGCCTTCAGCATTTTATTTTTTTTTTTGCTAAGTAAGATTGGCCCTGAGCTAACATGTGTGCCCATCTTCCTCTATTTTGTATGTGGGACGCTGCCGCAGCATGGCTTGATGAGCAGTGTGTAGGTCCGTGCCTAGGACCCAAACCGTAAACTTGGGCCACTGAAGCAGAGCACGTGAACTTAACCACTATGCCACCAGGCCAGCCCCAGTGCCTTAGGCATTTTTGTGGAATAGACAAGTGTATTTCTGACTCTGTTGAGCTTGGTTTCCACAGATTAATATATTAACCTGATGATGGAAACGAAAGTTTGGCCCCAAGGATTGAAGCAGGTGCTGTAACATAAAGCAATCCCCATCTTCTTACTGTTCATGGGCTGCCTTGGAGTTTGGACCAATAGACTGTCCTCCAGATTCACTCTTCCCCTTGCCCTACTTTGCCATCCCTGAGGACCTATGTAATGAAATCACTGTTGTCACTGTGAGAGCTTGAGGATAATGAGGTCAGAGTTGCCTGAGGCTTGGGCAACTTTAAGAAGAGGGCAGGGAAAGGTCGTGCCTCTGTGGGTGAAGTGAGGTGGAGGAAATGGGGAGGGGCCCGCCCAGAATCTCCCCTGGAGATCCCAGTTATGTGGCACCACCTCTAGCAATGTTTCAGAAGGAAGTTTATTTTTAAAAAGAGGAAAACCCAGCAAACTGTATAGACTCTGCAAGCCAAACTGTAGCTGCAAGTCCCCTCCATCCCTTACACCCCAGCTTGCATTCCTTGGGGTCAGGGGCAGTCCCTGGATGGAAGTGGGGTGGATGGAGAGGAGGGGACACAACATTTGTGGAAGACCCAGGCACTGGAAGCCTGAGCCAACATGAACACCTTGAGGATGTCCACAGCACTGCGTTGTCTCCATGTCCAGCTTTGAGGGTTTCCCCATTTAGCACAACTCACTGCCGTCTGCTTGAGCCTGCAAACTCTGCCTCCAGGACTGCCCCAGTGCCTGATGGCATCCACCTGGGCAGCTATAGGGGGGAAAGCACTGGCTCCACAGTGGTCCTTCTTTAGCTAGGAAGCTGGAGCATGTAGTCTGTGGAGAGAGATACTTGAGCAATGAGGTGGGTGGATCTTGCCTGGATCCGTGAGCCACCAACTCAGTGAGGGGACTGATGTCCCACGATATCATGCTCCCCTCTGCACCACCTCTACTCAAAGATGAGATGACTAGAAGCTCACCACCACCCCTTCATCTTCTCTTTCCTTTGTCCACTGCTTACATTATTTTGAGTGCTTCCCACATGTCAGGTCATTTATCTCTCATGGTCATTCTGTTGTTATACACTATTTTTATTTTTATTTGACAGATTTGTAAATGGAAGACATAGCCCAGGGTCACAGAGCCAGTAGGTGGTGGAACTGAGGTACCGTCCCAGAGAGCTCATGACCCTAGAACTCATGCTTGTAACCACTAGGCTACACTGCCTCTCCTTTGCAACAGAGAACTGGCTGCCCCTTCCTGGGGTCAGTTTACTCCCTCATTAGGCAGAGACTCATATCTCCCCTCTCCTTCATTTACTCCCCTCAGGTACTAGGCAGGAATTGGTTACCATGACCAATTCTCAGTGGCACCTCCCTACACTCCAACCCACACCACCCCCTTACCACCAATCCTATGTGTCTTCACTTTGAATCCCCTACGATAGCTTCAGGAGGCAATGGGGCATGCTCAGAATGCTGACTTGGACTAAGGTGGGCTTTCCTCTTAAAAGGTGGCAGAACTAATATTCAACCAACTGGAAATTACAGCTGTTTAAAGGGGAAGGGTAAAAATTTTCTGGAAAGCAGGATGAAGTACTGACTTCAATAAACTTAAATAAATTAAGTTTAAGAGTGTTATGGCAAGTTATGAGACCTCTATGACTTTATAAGCACAACCATTAACTAAGTTAACATTAGTTAATCATTAGGAAACACAACCATGAATCAGCCCATGAGACTTCAAGAGCTAGAAATTTTAAGGCCCAACATTTTACCTTAAGTAACATATTTGAAATCTATCCTTAAATTGATCCTCTGAAACACATTCAACCCATCTTAGCCAACTGGAAAACTTTGCATTCAGTCACTCTTTCAAGATGACACCTAACAGAGTACAGAAAGGAAAGAGCCACAGGTAAGCCCCTCTCTGCTCATTTCAAGGGTCAGAAGATGTCAGAAGAGACTATATTGCTCAGAAATGCAGAAAAAGCTGAAGTCAAGTCCAGTCAGCATACCAAGTCACCCAGTTTTTATTATGGGGGTACTCTGTGCCAGCCACTGTAGCAAATACAATGCATAATCGTGCAATGTTAGGGCTGGCAAGGACCTAGGAGATAAAATTCCTTTTTTGGAGCCATTTACAATTTGATTGGGATGTTAAGACTCACATGTGGATGGAAATGAGAAATTAATACTATACATAAATAAGCAGGGACTGAGAGATGCTGAAAGACTGAGATGTGAAAACTCAGGAAAAGGAAAAACAAATCTGGGTTGGAGCTAGTCAGCAGAGGTTTTAAGGAGAATATGGGATTTCAGGTGATCTATGAAAGCAGCAAAGTGATGGAGAGGCAGGTAGGCCTTTCATTCAAGGAGAGTGTGAATATAGGTAGAGCAGTGATGGCAAGAAGCCTAGGGACCAACACTGGAGAAAACACAAGGCCTCCTGGCAAAGAGACCAGTCTTCCTGGGGAGAGGGGGACCTGAAGGCTGGGTAGTCAGGTGAGCTCTTAAATCAGGAGTATGGAATTGGTTCCATAAAACAGGAGGGGGCCACTGCGGTATCTTGAGTATCTGACTATTCTTTTCAAGTAGGTTCATGATGTTTAAAATTAAACGAAACCAAACCAGTGCTTTGGGAAGATTAATCCGGGATCTGAGCGGTAAATGGATGGATTGATAATGAGAAGACAATGAAGAGATGATCTAGCCATCCCGGTACAGATTAATAAGAGCCTGGAATGAGACGGACAGTAAGATTGGGGAAGAAGAAATGAACCTAGGAAAAGGAAAAACATAGGATTTGATGGCTCATTAGTCAGGGAAGCAAAAAGGGGATTAACACTAGGAAATAGTGGTTTCTTTGACATGATAAGTGTCTTTTTCCATTCTTGGAATTATGAGGGCTCTGGAGCATGTAACTGAGCAAGAATTAAGAACTCGGGGAGCTGGTCTGTGGGAGTAGGTAGTAAGTCTGTTCTGAGCCATGCTTAGTGTGAGGTGGGACATCCACACTGGAATCTGGATTCAGTTAGACCACCAATCCTGGCTCTAGGTACCACCTGTCTTTCAGTTGACCTTTTTAAATATAAGGCCAATAGATTCATAAAGCTGAGATTCTTACTGTGTTATTGTTGTTCCACGAAAGCATTTTTGGTGGTTGTTTTCTGTTTTGTTTTTTGTTTTTTTCATAAAATTCTATGATTGAAACCAGCAGTCACCTTTTGAATGCACTGAAATACGCTTGATATTTTCAAGCATACTGGAGCTGGGTTCAGGGCTCCAATCTTTCAGGAGAAAATCAAAGCCCAGCAAATGACCAGAGAGGGGGAAGCAAAACCTCCAGGCCTCTCTGATTTGAACTTGCTGAATTTCCTCTCCTTAGCATTTCAGAGTGTCACTTTTTCTGACCATGTATAACCTCTGCTTTGGATTATGATTCCAAAGGATTGGAATATTTTGTACAGTTTGTGAAATCAGATGTTTATATGGCAACCTATATTTTAGTTAAAAATCTCACACATTAATTAGCATCCCCAAAAGATGAGCCATTTTTAGCTTTTAATTCTAAAAATATTTTTCTATATTTCCAAAACATCTTTTAAAAATCTATTTTTCTCCCATTCATTCACACTTCATTCATCAGAATGCGGTCAGCCAGGCTAGCAAGACAAGGAGGGATCAAGTCATACGATTGGCTTGTAAATAGTTGAAAATGTGAATCTGCCGCTTGGTTGGGTGATTTGTCCTTTAAATCATAGCCTGAGCCTATAAAAAATTGAAGTGGGATCTGAACATGGCAAAATGTACGTGCTTTTCTTAGATAAATCTGTTAGTCTGTGTGTGCTGTAAAATGGCATTATTCCTTCATTGGAAATTGCACTTCCTACACGACATACGACACGCTGCCTTCCCTCACAGACTTCCTCAAGCAAAGTTCAAAATCCCTCCTGCATTTGTAGTCAATCCCATGGTGAAACCATTAACCTAGTCTCCTATTTGGGCTCATCTGAGAAGAGTTTCAAGATAAGATTCTTTTCGAAAGAGCATTTAACAATTAACCAGCACAAAATGTAGCTACGGATAACTCCTGAATTGGGTTTCTCAGAGCACATTGTCAAGAAAAAGAGAAAGCCAAGACTTACAAACAATGAAGAAGGAAGAAAAATAATGGAATTTTGTATTTCATAGAATAAAAAGGTGATGTGTGTAGAAGCACCCATATTATGGACAAATAGATTGCTTCTTGGAATGGCCGTATAGACTTACCAGATTAAGCAATGTCAGGAACTTCCACTGTCCATCCTTTAGAAAGATGTTCAGTTTTTGCTGATCCCCACCTTGTTGTGAGGTGTAGTAATGGAGGAAAATATACCAGCTCCAAACAAGGAAGTGGTATATGCACATAGAGGTCCTCATCATAGCTAGCTCTGACCAGGGAACTGTGAATGTCTCCAGTAGCGTCCGTCCCTCTGGAATCCTTCTGCAAGTCACGGCTGCAGTCCTCTGGCAAGGCAGAGAGCTGTAAAACACACACCCTTCAGGGACTGAGAGTTCCAACATGGCTGAATTTTACTTCTCTCACGGGCTTCTGTTTTGATAAACTTGGGAGACAGGATTATTGCTGAGTTTTCAGATGCCCTCATTAGATAACAGCAAGCCATCTACAGACTTGAGTAAGTTAAATTTTAGGCTTTGAGGAGGGCAGGGAGCAGTGCAAGAGCTGCACTTTGCACTATTTGCCTGGGGCGGGGGCATGGTTAAGTGACCTCACTATAAAATACCAATAAACTCTAATGAAATTGCATCGTGGCCGTACTCTCTTTTCTTTCCTTTTCATTTGGGCAGAACAAGAAAGTGAAATAATATCTCTTGAAAGAATGAGAAGCAGGTTGATAAACCAGGAAGGAGAGATTGTGGGCATGTTCAGGGCATGGAAGGGGGTAAGTAGAAAGGGAAAGAAAGGATATTGTAATCTCGCTCCTAAGGTCTCTGAGGATCTATGAAATCTGAAACAAACTTTGATCCTCCAGGGAGCAGCTCCGAGGGTTTTTTGGTTTTTTTCAGTTCTGTGCCTATACTCTAGAGAACCAAAGGTTGCCCAGGGCTGTACACTCCTTTTGCACAAGCTTTTCTTTGCCCTGGGAGGGAAGAAAGGTATCGAGAGGTCTGTGGTTGAAGAAGCATAGGAAGAAGTGTGTGGCCACGACTCCAACATACCTGAGTTTAGACATTGCTGGGAGAAAGCGAGGGTCTCTGCATTGCCTTGGAGAGGATGAGAAGGTGCTTAGGCTAGGCAGAGTTTGTGGAACTGGGCCCTGCCTCAGGTTTGACAGAAGGGACCCGAGAGCGCTGGAAGTGTGATATCTTATGACATCATGTTCTTGTTTCCCTGGGCAACTGACTCAGAGGGTTCTGAGCAATTCCCTAAGGAAAATGTTCCTGATGCAGTTATGTAAGTCTGTAGTTGGTGCTGTTCAAGGATTTAACCAGGGCTTACAAGTACTGGGAGAAAGAACCGCAGGTTATATATGGAAACAAAACAGAAACAAACCCACCTCCTAAGAGTCATCAGATCCCAAACATTAGGAACTGTAGATGAGAGGAGGGCAAATCTCAGCCAGCAATAAAGGGTCTACATTGTAACTATTCCCAAAGGAGAGGGTGATCTAGGAAATGGGTGACATAAAAATCTGCACACAATTCTATGGCCTAGGCTAAAATTGCAAATAACAATAGCAGCTAATACTTTTACAGTACTTATTCTGTGACAGGCATTGTTCCAAGTACTTTACACATAGTAATTCATTTAACACTCTAAACACCACTGTGAAGTAAGTATTATTATGATCCTCATCTTCAGATGTGGAACTGAAACCTTGCTAAAAGGATGGATTCAAAAACTAATAAAAGGCAGAGCTTCAGTCTGCACTCTAACCAGTATGCCTGACCACAAAGAAACAACATTTGCTCTGCATGGCCTCAGACTCCCTTTGCAATATTTCTCCAGTCTCTGTTGAGCCCCTTCATTCCTCTCTCTCTCCCATCAGAAACTTCTCTCAGCAAAGGATCAGATACGTTTTGAAACTTGGTGTGCATGTGAGTTATTGTGCTGTTTCCCAGGGCATTTTCATGGCAAACATCATTGTAGATTTAGGGGTTTTATCCCTTTATACAAACATCTCAAGCATAAGTCTGCAGATGGGTAAGGATTTGAGGCAAAAATGGAAAAAGAGAGGAAGACAAAGACCCAAATCTCTGCAATTTGTGTGTCCAAACCTGAAGACTGGCCTTTTAACACCTAGATTTTTTTCCTGCGTTAGCCTCAATGCCTACAGATGCAGCCTTTTCTAAATATTGATACAATTACTTAAATTTATTTGTAAGAGGTTCAACATTTGACATTGGAATCCAATTGTTAGCATTTTAATAAATGATAACATGTAATATATGTATAACGAGGATTTGTATACAGAAAATATGTAACTTCTGAATTCATTATGCTTTTTTATAGAGTTTTCCACAAAAATATTGCCTAAAAGAAATTCTATGTTGTAGACCATATTCACATCATAATTTGTATCCCTGCTTGAATAACCAAAGAAATTTTCATAAGGCTCTGTAGTCACCTGTCTCCCGGGAGCTCTGAGACCAGGTAGAGCTTTGAGGAACAACGACAGTGTCACCACTTAGCTACAAAATATAACAAACTATACACACTAAGTCTGCTGTTGGCCTGCCGTTCTCCACTCTCCTCATGTCATATCCAGAAGAAGTGAGAGAGAATTGTTCACTGACTAAAAAAAAAAAACTGACAGAAATTTAAATTTTTTACATAGGAAATACTTAAACTATAAAATAAGTATATTTTACACTTTGAATTGAACATTATATAGATAACTCGATTATTAAAAGTGACATTCTTTGAAACTCTCTACCCTTGGAGAGTTTAGAACACCATTCTTTAATTTCACAAATACTTATTGAGAAACTACTAATTGCCAGGCACTTGCTAGGCTCTGGGGATTGCCTGGGGAATAAGAGATCCAATCTTTGCCCTCACGGAGCTTATAGTCTAGCAGGAGAGACAGACATTAAATAATAACACAATCAGTAGTTAATTTATAATTACGGTAGCTTCTGTGAAGGATAAACACAGAGGACTTATGAGAGGGGATAACAGTACTAGACTTGGGTGGTCAGGAGGTCAGGGAGCTGGGCCTGAGGAAGCCACATGTGAGCAAGGCCGGTCCTCCCAACGCTTCCAACAAGCTCTGACTGTCCTTCTCAGTCTCCTTCATAACCTCCTCTTCCCCCACCAAATCCTTATGTGTTGATGTGTCCCGAGGAGCTGGTCAAACAACTGCCCATCTCACACTACATACTCGCCCAAGTTATTTTGCCCACTGTCATGGTTTCTACACTACTTTCCAGTTTATGACCACAAATTTTATACCTCTAGTCCTGGCCCTCTCCCCATCCCTGTCAAGCTTCAAACATGTCTTCAACTACTTGTTGGACATCTCCTGAGTGAGTCACATGCACCTTCAACTCAAAATGTCTAAAATGACCTCACTACCTTCCCCCAAGCCTTGCCTTTCTTCTCTATCCTCTGTCTTGTGAGGATGGCCTCATCACCCACCTGGGAGTCTTCCTTGTTTCCTCTCTCTCCCTTACTCCCCAAATCCAGTTAACCACTAAATCTTGCCAAGTTCATCTCTCAAATCCAGTTCAAATCAGTCCTCTTCTTTCCATCTCTTCTACAACTGTCCTAGTCCAAGTCTTCTTCATCTCTTTCCAGTACCATAGCAACTGCCTTCCAATTGGTTTTCTTGTTTCTAGTCTTACCCCCCAACTCTGTCCTTCACAAGGTCAGGGAATGATTCTATGCAAAATGCCCAACTTACTACATCCCTCCCTGGCTTAAGTCCCTTTACTGCATCGCTATCACCTACAGGACAACATCCAAGTTCTGTAACTTTTAATGCACTGTCCATTTCCGTGTGACTTTGCTACTCTCTCCAGCCTCATCTCTTGTCTCACACTTGATGTTCCTCCAACAACATCAAATTGGCAGAGTTTTCCAACCACACCTGGCTATGTCATGTCCCAATGCCGTCACTCCTATTGTCTCCTCTCCCTGATGGGCTCCTCTCAACATGCCTTTTACTGGTTATCTCATGACCATCCTCTAAAATGCAGTTCAGCATTTTCCTTCTCTAGGAATCCCTCCTTGAACCTCTTCTTAACCAGGGCACATTAAATAGCCCCCTCTAGTCTTCCTTAATACCCTGTGCATCTGCAAATTGCATGATGATTAGTGTCTTAGTCCATTCAGAGTGCTATGACAAAAATACCATAGACTGAGTAGCTTATAAACAACAGAAACTTATTTCTCACAGTTCAGGAGCCTGGGAAGTCCAAGGCACCAGCCCAGCATCTGGTGACAGCCTATTTCCTAGTCATCTTCTTGCTGTGTCATCACATGTGGGAAGGGGTAAGGGATCTCTCTGGGGCCTCTTTTGCAAGGGCACTAATCCCATTCATGAAGGCTCCACTCTCATGATCTAATCACTTCTCTAAGCCCCCACCTCCTAATACCATCACTTTGGGGGTTAAGATTGCAACATATGAATTTTGGAGAAACACATTTAGACTATAGCAATTGGGAATTAATCTTTTTTATGTGCCGTTATCTCCCAGGGTTCAGAGATGATATGTTTGGGTTCCTAGAGCTTGGCATAGTGCTGGACACACAGTAAGAACTTAATAAATATACATTGGATAAATGAATATGTGCATATGAGGCACACTTGTCTACTGAGCCTTACTATAAAGCCGGCTCACTCATTAAAAATCTACTATGTTCAGATTGTTCAGCTGCTGGGTTCTAGGAAGGAGGTAGAATATTAAGATAAGTAAGACATAGCCTAAGCCCTTGAGGAACTCACAGTCAAGTGGCAGAGACAGATATGTAAACAAAAAATTACAGCACGATGTGATAAGTACTATAATAGGGTATGCATAACGTACTAATGGAGCCTAAATTATCCTGCACGTTATTCTGTCATTCTAAATATACAGAAGATTGAGTTAAAATTGAGTGCATTGAGTAAATCATGGGAAACTCTAGGCACCATGTAGGAGAAGATAAGGATTAAAGTCATCTCACTGAGACTAAAGTAGTCATGGCCACCAGTACAGATAATGCTTTTGCCTGGTAGAGATTATAAGTCATTCCTTTTGCCAGCCACAGAATGATGAGGTACAAAGAACAGGGACTCAAAGCTGAGCTGGAATCTACTGAGCGACCTTGGGCTGGTCAGCCATGGGCTTCATTGGGGTTAGTTCCCTAGAGTGTGAAATGGAGCTTAGGGAATCTGGAATGGTGATTGTCTTGCTTCCTAAAGCCAGCACATCTACTGGGCTAACAGAGCAATTGACCAGGGCTGGCCTCTAAAGAGACTGGAAGGAAGCCCCAAGCCCACACAGATACACACCCGTCCCGACACATGCCATGGAGCTAATAGTGGAAAGTATTGGAAGACCCTCCACAGTG